TTTCAAAATTGCATGTAAAGGATGTACTTTGTCAAAAATCGTGAAATGAATCAAACCTGGAAAAAGTTTTTCTATATATTCTTTCGGAAAAGTCCAGGTTAGATTTATTTAAAAAAAAAACGAGATAAGTACAAGAAACAATACATGGGATGCATATTTATCTAGAGAAAAAATGATTTCTTCAACAAGTGTTTCCTAATGTATAGGAAAGTGTTTTAATATTTGGAAGTATGTAAACAGCTTTTTTTCATGAAATGTAACTTCACTCAGTTTTTTAAAATTAGCACAATGAACTTTTCACAGACTTTTTTCAAATTAAAGATTTTGTCACTTGCACCACTTCTCCCGAGACTCTGAATTTTGTTTATCTGTAATTTATCTTAATCAAGGATTTTCGTAGGTTGATGCGATCTTTTCGATGAAAATTAATCCAAAAGTTGCTTCAATTCTACAACATAAAAAATTTTCATACCACAAATGGTGGCCACAGAGACATTAATTATTCATTCCTAAATAGACCTACTGAGATCGTGAAAAGTCAAATTTGTATTCACCTTGATCACGATATTGCTAATTCCATTATACACACTTCTATTCAATTAAACTGAAAGTTACTAGAATTTTACTTTATGTACATCAGAATCAGGAATTTATCGGTGGTGGCGAGTGTCATCATCAGTCACCCTTTTAAAATGAACGTGGCGCAAGCTGTCCTGATCATTTAAGTGAGAATATCATTAGGATTTCATTAAATATTCGTCGTCGTAAACATAATTTATCTCCGTTAAAATGTCATCTGTTCAATCTCTTGTGTTTAAAAAAATGTATATAAGAGAAAAACGATAAATAAGTGTATAATAAATAAATAACTATAGAGTTGATGATGTGGTACACATATTTTTCTTTATTAGTGATCGTTTTCTTTTTAGAAATTGTAGTTTTCAACTTTTGCACGATTCATCACACTTTTCCTCGGTACTCGATTGTTTGTCTCGGAAGAAGACACCCATGGACCCGTATAGCCGAGACACAAATGCTTCATTTTGACACCACGAAAATTCGAAGTTCACCCATATATCCGCGTCGACCCGCTCGCAATGCTGAGAATTCAATTCCATGAGCTTCCGATCGATTATAGTCCCTGCCTGAGGACACGTCTCCTAAAATTCCTCGACGTCTCGTTATCTTCTGTGCTAAATATCTGTCGCAAATCGAAGCAATTCTCTCTGCAAATCAATTTTCTAATTACTTTCCCCTTTTTCTGTGTTCACTGCATTACATATCATTATTCGTAGCCTCTGGTGTGTTAACAATAGAAAAAAATTGAATAACTAACGGGCATTTATCTCGTGAGCATGATGAAACAATGCCATTTTCTCTCAAATGAACGCACATGTTCCTTTTTTATGTAAATTGATTCGTATTCAGAAATGTGTATATATTGAATTAGGGTTTCTGAAACATTATTATGTCACGTAATTTTTTTTTAATGAAACGCAAACTTTTTTTCAAGATGACTGAATGTTCTAAATTTGCAAACAAAAGTTTGCAACCAAAAGGAATAAAATAACTATTTACTTTACATTTACATAGCGAACGTAAAGAAAAATCTTCATTTTGTGATAACTAATGAATTACAACTTCTATTGTTAAACTTATGACTACTACTGTAACTTTCTAAAATGAATAGTTTCTGATGAATAGTTCTTGATACAGCATTAATTTTGTTTACCTTTCATAAAGGAGAAAGTTATCACCTATCCAAATCGCACAACCCACGTCGTATGTAGCTTTTTATTTACACAAATCAGGCTTATTTGATAATGCTTTTTGAAGTCTCGTTTTTCGCACACATCCTCCTGACCCGCTATGTAGTTGTAAGGACTGTTCACGATTCAAATGAGAAGTACATTTTCCGTAATGGCGCCTGCAGAGGCGCTGGAAACCATCTCCATCGTTTTACGACCCTAGCGCGCAACGAATCATTTTCCAACCGACTACTTGATCTTCAATTGACGTCTCCCAATGGTGTTTGTTATTTGCCCGACATACTTTTCCACGGACTGGATTTTCTTCTGTCGAACGCTATTCTCGCTTTGGAATTGCGCTGGGAAGCAACTATGTATTAATTTCGAAGGAAATCGGATACCTCTACCGAATTAATGACGGTTGCCATTTTGTCTGCAATAACCTACGCCATTTTTACGGAGTAAAGAGGCGGGAAGATACTTTGAATTTAAACTGTATTACCATTTCGTCGAGATGGAGACAGTGAGTTACTACATAACTCGTACATTTAGTAAATGGAATTGTGTTTTTTTTTTCAGTTTTAGTAGAACGATTTATATTTCGAGATCACAACATTCATGCGAAATTATCTAAGAGGTTTGACTCCGGAATTGTCTATCGAGATTGATGAACTTAACGCAGTTAATCGTACGTAACGAATCAAGTGAAGTTGCTTTTCTGGATTGTTATTCTCAATTATATTTCACGTCTCGTCTAGCTTTGATAAATAGGCTCAATCACAAGTATTACAAAATACATTCTCATCCACTGCGACAACGATTACATCGAGATTCGATCGTTAAATGGAGATTGGAGCAATCGTACAGTCTGGAGCGCACGCAGGTTCTGGTCTGGGTTTAGAAACTCCTAGTACACTGGTAGAAACGCTTCGCACATTTAGATCGAGTAAGTCACTATTCTCGAGAAATTCCTTACTTACTAATTACACACTGCTCAAAATTGTCGACGCGACGCTACACACATTACTTATGTTATTTCTGTACAATAGATACATTGTTGACCAGAAGAAAGTTCAAAACTTGATACGTTTATGTGTACGAGTGTCGTAATAACAGCTATAATAAAATTTAATAAGAATATTAGGGAATTTTGTTTTTTGACTGTAATTGATACTGTATGACTCGCTGATGTTATTACCACGTAACTAAATCAATTTTTAATTCCTTTTTTTATGTAACAGGTAGCATAGAAAAAGTAACTTTGTTTAGCTATAACAATTAGAATCAATTGTTAATATTAAAATGAAGGTAAGAAACGAGAGACTAAAGTACTAATTAAAAATTTATACAATAAATTATAATTTTGAGTGTACTTCAACAAGTTTTTAAGTCATACTATAACGAAAGGTAATAAATTATTTTAAGATAATTTTTTACTTAAATTTACTATTGGGAATAATAAATAAATAAGTTAAACTTTTAAGGATTATTTTTTAGTCGAAGGTATACACCGTACTAGTCTCCAAGTACCTCAGATACTATCAACAATATATAAATCATTTTACCAGAAAATGTTGGAAGGCAAGTAAGAAAATAATTTGAAGTTAAATTAGTCCGTCTTATCAAATAAGTTAATAAAATAGACTACTTTTATTCAAATACTGTCCAGGTCTGACGTCAAAACAGTTTTTCAATAATAATGTTTTTGTATCAATTCCATTATTTAAATTTATTTCTTCTTTTTAAAAAAACTCTCATTTCTGCATATACTTGTATTATTTTTATTGTTACGAATAATGGTACACTACCTATCACAAGTTTGGAATCACTTTATGAATTGAAGCGAATAGGTATTTGTTTCTTAACACTGAAACTATTAAAGCGGGCAAAATAATTTGTTCGTAAACTTTTATAAAAATGATTAAATATCCTAGCATTGTATCTTCTGGCATTCTTTTTAACTGTTATTGCAATATAAAAGTGAAAAAATTCGTTAATTTATCAATCTGCGAATTTTCAACAAGCTTTTACCGTGACAGAAATAGAAACACGTCTATCTTTGATAGTTCTAGTGTTAAAGAAATTCTCGATAATTGTATTCATTTATAAAAATTAAGAATTAACGGTTCCAATAATTGTTTCCAAAAGTAACGATCCCGAATCAGAATATACAATTTTACTGACACCAGAGTCAGTGAGTGATTCTAAAATTTTGTCTGACAACGTGTACCATTATGATATTGAATTGATTTCATAAAAAAAAATTATACTCTTCTTGCAAATCCTAAACGTAATTACCAAGTTCTACATTCAATTTCATAATGCTTGCGTTTTTTCCTTGGATTCTCCACATCATCATCATTCAGATGCTGCACCATTTCCAATTTTCTTGAACCAAAATACACTAGAAAACTGAACTGACTAGTAATTAATCGTTTTTGTGCTTTCTTTCGGCCATTGTGGTACACCACGATGCATTGTATTCATGAGCATAGGACTTCGCCGTTTACACTACTGGATACATCAAGCGAAAAACGTACTTATTTATCAAGCATCGAGGATCACCTAAGTGTTTTCTCGCTCCGACTAACCGAGAAATCACGGAGATCCACGCCAAAATCCCGATAGGGGATCCCCTTTTTGGTAGTATAGCATCTTACGCCGCGGTCGTACGTTCTACGCGATCACCGTCTAAATGAAGGGTCCCTGCGCTTCGGGGTCCCGAAATTCTTCCCGCTTTTATCGGGCACTGTGGCGCCACCGATGACACGACTCCGCCGAGATAGCACAGTAGCCGTTTCTCCGCTTGTCACGGAGTGGAAAGGACCACGTGACGTCTGCCATTTTGTCCAGCGACGGAGTTCACGTGACAAGTCGCGCGGCCAGTCTGTAGGTCGTTAAAAAATCGTTTAGCTAAATGCCTCGTGAAACGAGCCATTCGTCAAGCTCATACCGCGGATCGTCTCCGTGACAAGAAACTAATCACCGCGAAACTTCGTCGACCACCATTCGCGATCGGACACACAGCACGGGACGTTATTACGGTCGTAGTAGTTTCCATTTTTCGACTGAATGGTATCGTAATGGACAAGTTTTCAACAACTTCGAACAATCCTGAAGTTGTTGAACGATCGATCGACTATATCGACGGGCGTGTTTGGGCTAGCACAGATCACGGGTAGGCCGAATCCGTTTGAAAACCTGCGCTTTCTCGAGCTAGTCTCGACAATTGAAGATCACGGCCCGCCCGGATCACAGGAAACTTTCGTTAGGAACGTTCGCGGCGATATCGATCGCCTCGACCCCCTGATTGTCGAGACGTTCTGCCCCGTCCATCTCGCCAGCTTTAATCTCGTAGTTGTTTATAGGATCGCCGTACTGGCTCTGATAGAACTCTTCTCTCATCATGTGGTTCAGGTTGCTGCATCGGAAGTAGAGAATTTCGCGGAACGGCTTCCGAAAGTCCCTGTTCAGTGTTGCGTAGATGATTGGGTTCAGGAGACTGTTGCAGTAACCTAGCCAGAGGAACAGGCTCGATAAGAATGCTGGGATCGCGTCTGGGTCTTTCAGGAACGGTCTAACCAGGGCCAATACGAAAAACGGTAGCCAGCAGACGATGAAGGCGCTCATTATGATGCCCAATGTGGTGCTAGCTTTTCTTTCTTTGGCCAGGTGGAACCTCAGCTTTTTCTGATGAGGCGAGTTTGTCACGCTACAGGTACTGTTCAGGTGGTTTCGCACGATCGTCGATTTCGTGGTTGACATTGGCGGTGTGGTCGCCGTGGACGACGTACGGATTGGTTTCTCGAACTTTTGCAACATCGGGCACTGGGACTCGTTACTCTTTCGTGGTCCTCCAGCAAAACATCGCACCGCGTTGCCGCTGCACTGTAACAGGAAGAACGGAGGAACGTTCATTCTCTTTTTCTACCTTTTTTTCGTTGGTTCTTTTATGATTATTTATAAGTTTTTAATGAATTTCGAGAGTGAGTTTATGAGCGTATAATCCGGAAATACTTTATATACCATACCTACCCGAAGGATATTTCTATCACAAGGTATAACAAAATTTAACTTTTACTGAATATTATGGTAGTATACGGGGTGGTTCGTACATTATGGTTGCACGGGATATAAAATTGATCGTTATGTTGAAAGAATTTGTAAAGCAGTTTGTAACATATCTTTTTTACAACAACTTTTCATAAATTAACATTGTGAAGAAAGTAATGGAATAAACTAATACTTTCAATAATCATAGTGCATATGTGGACTGCCATGTATAAAATTTTTGGTGATATATTTTAGAAAATCTACTTTTAAAACTACCATTAATATATTTATGTATCAATTAAAAATAAGGTCTCATCATGTTCCTAGACCATTAGACTGAAGATTAACCTTTTTTTAGAGTACCTACAGTTTATTATTTTAATTTCATTACTTTTTATTATGTCATTTTCTAAATATACTGCATTTCTTTTTATGCTACGCTACGAAAATGAATCCCATTTCAAGTGGACGATGTATTTGTTATGACATTACTATAATGTTTCAAATATTATGAATAGGATTATAAATGTTTCAAAATATTGTGAACTGGTATTCAGGTATCTCGATCTTATAATTTCTCAACGATAACTCACAGCTGACCCTAAAATATACATATATTGAATTATAAGCATACTTAAAAAAATTGTTTTGTCATATCTTGATCTTAGGTTAAAATGAAATAATAAGTATTCATCAAATTGTACAGTTCTAAATATTAGTAAAAAGATTGAATAAATGAAATATGAGAATAACAAGTATCTTGGAGAAAAACATGTTTCATTCAAAAAATTTAAAGATCAAAGTTCAAGTTTATCTTTTCTTATCATTACTTTAACAATTAATGTTTTCAGTTATGTTTTACAATCTCGATTTACTTCAATTACCAAAATTATGCAAATTTCTCTAGGAAAATTAAGTAAATAGTCAAACTATATAATTCCCAAAAAAATGATCAAGACAAGAAGCATTTTGATTTGTCCCTGTTTACATACTGCAAGGGTATGCCACGAATTCTATTCGGAATCTGTGGTCCCGGTACAATGCTCGTACGGATCTCAATCCTTCCGGAGAAACAAATCTCCTGTGTATACTGGCGCAGCCAGCTACTGATAAACAGTAATCACAGTAAACACGAAACTAAATGCGCTTTAATAGGGCTATATTAATGGCTCGATCTGTATAATGAAGTATAGAGTCCTCGCGATTATTGACTCTGTTGATATGCGATTATTGTCCAGGCGTCATCCCCACCACTGGGGAGGGGGGGAGGCCGTGGAACTCGGCAATCACATACTTTGTTGCCGCAGTGCGCTGAGACGCCTTCCCGTTCACGAGTCGACGACTGAACGTTGTGAGCCCATAAAAAGGTTACATTCCCGGGAGTCGGTAAGACAATACTAATGCAACGATCAAACTTTTTCATTTTTGATTCTTATTAATGAAACTTTTATAAACAAATTGATGAGATTTTTCTGATTAAAATGATACCAAACACGACGCAATTTGGGTCATATTTACTTACGATTTATCAGAATCGATAATGAACTAATATGAACTATTAACACTTCCTACACGAGTAAATATGATCCAAATTATGTCATATTTGGTATCATTTTAATTACAAAAATCTCACCAATATACTAGTAAAAGTTTCATTCACAACGAATCAAAAATAAAAAAGGTGTCATCGTTGCATTAGCGTTGTCCCGCGCGCCGGGCAACAATGTATGCACTCGATGGACACGACCGACGGAGCGGAGGAATGTACGACGATTAGTCGAACCTTTTAATCAGCAGCAACTGCCCAAAGAGATGTCGACGAATAAAATGTAACTGGTAGAGTTCTGCATTGGGCGCATAAACTCGGGTTCTCCCGTCCGTTATCCGTCGCTTATCGCTTCGCCCAAGCCCGCCCAAACCCGTAGCGGGCCGAGCGGGTCGACATATACAGGGTGTTCGACAACTAGTGTGAAAAAATTTAAGGGGTGATTCTTTGAGGTAAAATAAGACGAAAATCAAGAATAACGAAATTGCGAAAAATGCTTCGTTTGTTAGTTATAAGCGTTTAAAAATTGACGCAAATCATGGCAATCCGCGCGCACGGAGTGTCAGCGGATCACGGCTCATCAGGGGCGTACAGTCACTTTAAAGACTCAACGACGTGCAGGAAAAGTCGGCAGAACAGCTGTTTACTTACCCCGTAGAAGATGTCGATAACTTGTGCCCGCGGTATTTGAATCGAATCCACCCGTATCGCATTATCTCTGATTACTCGATAAAATTCGCAAGAAATGTAAATATCTTCTTACGAATATTATCGAGTAGGAAGGGTTAATGCCCCCTCTAGTTGTCACGTGTCACAATTGTCCTGTCCACGTCTATCAATGAAATGAATCCGCACATGCACGTACACCACAAAAGTCCGCGAAAAGTGTCCACACACACTGAGCGATTGTCACGTTCGCGACAAATCTTCATACACACTGCGCGATTGTCCCGACCGCGAAAAATATTCTGTTCCTCTGTTGGGTTTAACACTCTACAGGTTACACAAAACTAACACTCAAAATAATTAATTTAAAACTATTTAACACTAATATTAAACCTACACTAAATAATTTATAACTATTTATACTAATTTTTAACACGCTATAATTAATAAAACCTGCAATAATGAATAAAATCTACAATATTTAATAAAACTTGCAATAATTAATAAAATCTACAATAATTAATAAAACTCACAATAATTAATTTGCACTATTTATAACGACGACATACGCGACACTACTAAATAATCACTACGTAATCTCTAAATAAACTAAAACTTAGTTTTCCGAACATGAACTCTATTTGCTTGTAGAATGCAAAGGACACCGTTCGGAAAGGACGACTGATATTGTCGAACTGATCCTTCCTCGTTAGGATCGATGTGGCGTAATAGGTCGATCCTCACTTTTTCATGGTCAATACTTTTTGGGAAGGAAAAACTGCATGGGAAAGTGTCTTGGAGGTCGCGTTTCTTTTCGTATATTCTTAGAGCAACATCTGTATTTTTTTCTCATACACCACTCGGGGCCTCGGGGCACTTGGCTCCGATGCCGAGGGTGTGCGAGTCTGGACATTATAAAACTGTCTCTTGTCTTCTGCAGGACGACCACCCGCCCCAAGACACTTTCCCATGCAGTTTTTCCTTCCCAAAAAGTATTGACCATGAAAGAGTGGGGATTGACCTATTACGCCACATCGATCCTAACGAGGGAGGATCAGTTCAACAATATCAGTCGTCCTTTCCGAACGGTATCCTTTGCATTCTACGAGCAAACAGAGTTCATGTTCGGAAAACTATATTTTAGTTTGTTTAGCGATTACGTAGTGATTACTTAGTAGTGTCGCGTATGTCGTCGTTATAAATAGTGCAAATTAAGTATTGTGAGTTTTATTAATTATTGTAGGTTTTATTAATTATTGCAAGTTTGATTAAATATTGTAGATTTTATTCATTATTGCAGGTTTGATTAAATATTGTAGGTTTTATTAATTATAGCGTGTTAAAAATTAGTATAAATAGTTGTTATAAATTATTTAGTGTAGGTTAAATATTGGTGTTAAATAGTTATAAATTAATTATTTTGAGTGTTAGTTTTGTGTACCCTGTAGAGTGTTAACCCCAACGGAGGAACAGAATATTTTTCGCGGTCGGGACAATCGCGCAGTGTGTATGGACATTTTTCGCGAACGTGACAATTGCTCAGTGTGTGTGGACACTTTTCGCGGACTTTTGTGGTGTACGTGCATGTGCAGATTAATTTCATGGATAGACGTGGACAGGACAATTGTGATACGTGACAACTAGAGGGGGCATTAACCCTTTCTACTCGACAATATTCGTAAGAAGATATTTACATTTCTTGCGAATTTTATCGAGTAATCAGAGTTAATACGATACAGGTGGATTCGACTCAAATACCGCGGGCACAGGTTATCGACATCTTCTACGGGGTAAGTAAACAGCTGTTCTACCGACTTTTCCTGCACGTCGTTGAGTCTTTAAAATGAGTGGATGCCCCTGATGATCCGTAATCCGCTGACACTCCGTGCGCGCGGATTGCCATGACTTGGGTCAATTTTTAAACGCTTATAACTAACAGGCGAAGCATTCTTCGCAATTTCGTTACTCTTGATTTTCGTCTTATTTTGCCTCAAAGAATCACCCCTTAAATTTTTTCCCACTAGTTGTTGAACACCCTGTATATCTAGGCGCCCGAGCCCGCCCGAAGTTATCGCAGCGTGTGATCTTTCTACTCGTGCCCGACTGCCCGCTAGAGTTCTGCATTGAACGGGCTGAGCGGACCTAACGGGCCTAGCGGGGATTCCACGGGTCGGACGGACTAGCACGAATCCGGGTGGGTATGGACGGGTTTGCGGCGCGCATCGTCGGGCCTACGCGGGCCGGGTATAGTTCGGGCCGGGCCAGCCCGGGTACAGATAAAACTGCCGGGTGACGGGCGGGCTCAGCCCGCCCAATGCAGAACTCTAGTAGCTGCATCACCTCCACTCACACGTATTTTTATTATTGGCAGAAATGGTACACACACAATTGGACTGTGTGGTCGGCTATAATGTAATCATCGGTCGGCGAGAGCGTCGCAGGCGGGCCACGCAGCCGAGTTGAGTGGGAAAAGAAGCTTTCTCTCTGTTTTTCACTGGCTCGTTCTTTACTACGTTCGGAATACTACAAAGGCGAGTTGCCAAGGCTCGAGCTTCGGGCAAAAAACGTATTCACGGGGGTCAAAAGCGTTTCGCGTAGTCTACGATTATGGTCTCCTCGCGGACCCGAGTTAAGGACGATAATCGAGAGGTAC